CTTGTTCTTTCAATTCGTATCACGAAGCTGTAAAAATATATTTAGTTTCTACCTATATATATATTTGAAAAGTAGACCGTCTAAGGTTTTTTAAAGTATTTTTAAAATGTGTATATGACAAAAACTTGCGGAGTTATTTAGACGGTTTTGCGAAATTTTTGTCAGATCCCGCCGCCGGGACCGCCGACCCCAGGGGGTTAACACTTAAGAATGTTTATGCATGCCACTTATTCTTAAGTCTAGGAGTAGGAGCAAAATCACATCACTCTTAGAATTGTGACGCATTTAAGAGTGAAATTTTACTCTGAGAAGTTTTATGCATACCAGCCCAGATTATTTGTACTGCTGCCAAAGTCAGACTTCCACTGACTGGCACAGCCTGAGATGAAACATTACTGTGGGCAGTTTTCTAAGCTAACAATACAGGTCCCATGAACACGGGATGAACTGGACTGGCACAAAGTTGAACTTGAGGCCACAGTGTTGCTCAAATGCAGGGGTTCCATCAGCCAAATTCCATCAGCAATACAAAGCCAAGGTCCATTGCCAGGGTGGTTAATTGATCACTCAGTCTGGATTCAACTGTAGTTCGGTCCGGATTCAGACTAAAGTCAGCCAGTTGGTGACCACTGGTCTGATATAAAACTGAAATGGCGCCCTTTCACCCCAATCGCTTGGATGTGGACTCCGTTTGTTATATGATAAAGGCCCCCCCACAGAGGCTTTTCTTACCCATCATATTGTAGAGGCTCTGAGGTGCAAACTGCTTCGGCATCTTCTGCAGTGCTTCCTTATACAAAGAGAGTGCCTCCTGTGGATGAAACCAAAGCCAGTGGATTAAGGATGGAAGCTGAGGTCATATCCTCATGTCTCTGGCCTCTCTGTGGATCCACCAGTGTCATCCAGGCGCATGCCAGAAGCCAGTGCCGTCCATATCTTGTCTAAACATATCAAAATTGGACTGATGCCTTGGGTGGGTGGCAGATGGCATTAAGATTTAGGTTGTGACCTGAAATAAATGGATTAAGTATATAGGTGTGCATGTACTAAAATGTAATTTAGTGTAGCACAACGCTCTGCTTGTGGGTGGAGGTCAGAGGGCCTGCTCTTCCTCCTGACTGAGCTCCCTCCCCCAAGCATCCACTCACCTCCTGGTGGCCCTGCTCATGCAGCAACTTGCCCAGGTTATACAAGCAGCTAGTGACTGAGCTCCGGTGGGCATGCGGATCTTTCAGGTTCTCATCAGGGATGTCAGCACAGGTGAGGAAGGTGCGCTTGGCCTCCTCCAGGTGTCCCTCAGTCATCAGGATAATCCCTGTGTTCAAGTATGCAGCTAGGAGATTGGCAGAAAAAACTAACATCAAAAATCAGCACAATATGTACTGTGTTCATCATTCACTTTACATCTTTACAAAAATTCACCAATCCATCCATCCATCTGTTGCTACAGAATAGAATATACAGATTTATTAAAACTATTTTCATTGAAAATATGTAGCTCTGTTACAGTGTTTATTACCTGGGTATTACAGAGCACCAATTATTGGTGTGCCATAATTTCATTAATGACAAAACTTCCCATATGAATTTGATAACTGATATTTAAGGTTCCACTAACATCAGAAGCACTGTTGTAGATATTACTTTAAAATGATCTCCATTTAGAATAATCACATCTGCAAAAAATGGGGAATGTATTTATTGTTTTTACTTCTGGTTTCAAGATAACAGTCTTTATGACTATTTAATGTTAATCCAAAGGACAAGAGGCAGGTCCTGTCCTGCCTCTGTTAAATCTAAATGGGAATAATAAGGAAGATCCACTTTAAACATGACAGCTAGGAAGAGGGAGAGACAGAGACACCTACAGCACCAAACTGGTACATTAGATGGCCTGTACCAGAGGACAGAGGAGAGAATCACAAGTAGCAAATCAAAACCACTTTCCACCTGGATCTACAACCAACTACATAAAGTTGGGATTTAATCAGTACAAATGAAGGGATGTCACTCCCAGAAAGCTGGCCCAGAAACACAGCAGCTCTTAGTCAGTGGGCACAGTTGCAGCTGCCAGTCAATGGTGGAGGTGAATGGGGACGGCCTACTTACAAGCTAGTGTAGGCCTGCTCCCAATGGCCAACTTATAGTAATGCAAGGCCTCGGTGGACCTGCCGTTTTCCTGAAGCAGCAAGCCCCTAGAAGTGAGAGGCCAGAGGGGACGCGTGAGACCACTCAGCAAGGGTAGCAGGTAAAGTAAAGGCATGCCGTCATTACAATGGGGAGTGAAGTCATGATAGGATTTCAAATCAGACCACCTGATGCCATTAGTTTGGATTTACCATATGTATTCTTCAGTCATGTTCAAATAAAAAGCAAATCTGTAGCACAGCAAGTACTGGTTCATTCAAACTTTGCAATCACAAACAATTTTAGAGGTGTCAGTGTGTCCTACTCCTGACACCACTCCCATCAGTCCCTAGCTTGTCATCATAACTAGCTTGGATTCATGACATGGACCTTGAACCAGGCCACATCTGCCTTGCTGCTCACAGACACAGTGTTATTCATAGCTGCTAGACAAAACTGGGGTCTGGTCAAAACAACTCAACCTGCAAGGTCACTCATACAAATCTGAGGGCCTGCAGAATGCCTCATTAGACTCTGATTTCTTCAAACAGGAAAACAAATCAAAGCTATTATAGTGCAAAACATACATTAACTTCGCAAAAGTCTTAGGCAGTCAAAGAAAATGAATGATCAGATGTGCTGGGTTGAGAAACACTAAGATGGATAACAAATCTGTTCCCAAGATTCTCCATGTTGGATTAAGGATGTGAGGAATGTTCAGTGTTACAGTTCTTCAGAAGAATGTAAGGCAAATAAGGAAGGGAAACCTACTCACAGGTTGTACAGCATGTCCGCCATGTTTCTGCGGTAGTACAGGGCATTCCTGTAGGCTTTCTCAGCCTCCATCACCTTGCCCTGGTTCTTCAGGACGTTCCCTAGGTTGCCCCAGGCTGCCAGGGACAGAGGAGCCCAATTAAAAGCATATATCATTCACTTTCTACCTTGTAAATTGTTATTTTAGTCCAGAATGCATTGTACCTGCCCTGGGCAAGGTCAGCTGGCCCAAAGTAGCCTCAGAGTGAAATGTTGCCTTCTGCTTAACGATGCTTATTAACTACTTCCTGAAAAGCGAAGAGTTATGAGCAACTTCTTGAAGTACAATAATTTTTTTTCACTGTACTCAAAAAAACTGGAACTAAAACTCTGTGTTCACCAAGTATGAGCTCATTCTAGGCTCGCCAACTATGTATACATCTGCTGTTACTCTCCAGGTTTCTGATCGAGTTTTGGTTATTGTAATCCTCCAATCCTGTCTAGCCTTCCCCCCTCATGCAGTAAATGAAAATGTGGGTTTTAGGCTACTATTTGACCAAGCTTATTGACTGGTTCCTCCAGCTGAATGCTGTGTTTGTTCATGGGCAGAAGGAGAGCAAACCACATGCTATCAAGTTCAATATCGGCGCAGTTCAATGGGAGTTGCGGTTTCTGTAAACATACCCACACTCTCGTCATCAATGGCCAGGTCCCCCCTTTCCCCCCACAAATATGCAATACTGCAAAAACAATCACTGGGGGTGGGCTAAGTTCCAAATGGATGCCTGCTAGTTTAACCTTCGCCTTACTGTCTTTTTCTGTGATTGTGTATATATTGTATTTTTAAATGAATTTATAACAGACAATTACAACCTCTGGTACATATGCTTCTTGGAATGGGCCTTTTTAATTTGTGTTTTTTTTTTTTTCCAAGATAACCCTTTTTAGTTTGGTATTCTAAAGTATACCTGCTGATATGTCATGCTCAAAATATTTTCCTTCATAAGACCAAAGCCACAGTCACTATAGTAGTCTGTATAGTTAACAAGAGTGGGACAGTCACACTGATACATGACTGGAAGTCCAAGTTCAAATCCTGCTAGCTGTGGAGAAATGCAGTGGCAATGTACACTTTTGTATATCTAATCTATAACATGAAGACAATATTTCCATCACCCTAATGCTAATTCATGCCGTTATCACATTCAATTACTAAAGTGAAAGCAACACATTGATGCTAATTGTGTTCTGTAACAGTTCATGCCAAATTCCACAAAATCTTTAGTAGTACAACATGTTGTAACGGTGAGAAAGCATTCACTTGCTAAAGCAAACAGACTGCAGAATAATAAACTGATGTATTAAAATTCTTAGAAGGTAAATGTAAATACCTTCTGGTTATGTTCTTAGTAGTCTGCAAGCACACACTATGAACATCTTACTCACATCCTTAGCACATATTTAATTCCGTCTGTCAACACTACTCTAAATGCAGGTAGCCTTACACCAATTACTGACTCTGTGTTAATGACTTAACATCCATCCATCCATTCATCCATCCATAAAACACTTATCCAATAAGGCTCATAATTCTACTGAGCTGTTTGGAAGACAATTGTATGAAAGCAGCTGTGAATTGGATAAATGCACATATAATGTGTTTGATGGCATATGTGAGTTACCTTTTGCAGGGTTCACGGATATCCCTGACTTGTAGAGCATCTCCTCAGTTTGCCATTCATGGTTCCTCAGCATGGTCTTTACGCCGTAGAGGACCAGTAGACTGGCACTGCAGTACAACACAAGAGCCTTGGAGAGCCTGCCCCTGAGTCTGATGTAGAGGGAGCGCATGGCCACCGTCACCAGCAGGCAGAAGCCCATGCTGGGGATGTAGAGGACTCGCTCCGCTATCACGAAGCCCACGTAGAAGAACAGGTTGGTGGCAGGGAGAAAGGGGATGGCTAAGAGGCTCAGGGAGAATGCCACTATATTCTCCGAGCCAGGCAGAAAATGGTACTGGTGACTACCGGTACCATTGGTGGTATTTTTCAGGGACGCTGAGACAACATCTGAGTGACAGTCGTGCCCATTGGCGTTGGGCTTCCCGTTGGCAACATGGGCCCTCCCACCAGCCTCCACTAGACCCCGGAGTCCGGTCCATGCAAGGAAAAGCAGCATGGTGTAGAAGGCCAAGGTGTGCAGGTTCCTCAAATCCACAGTGTTCTCCAGAAGGGGCACAGCATCCATGGACCAATCAAAGCTTAGCATGTTCGGGCATAGGAGGAGCCACACATTGGCTGCTGGCAGGTAGAGAAAGGTGAGGGTCCTGGCCAACAGGCTGGGTGAGTCAGCAGCAGGGTTGTCGGAGTTGGAGAAGCTGGGAGGTTTGTTGCCCATCCAGTAGAGACGAGCCCCCAGCAACAGAGCTCCCCACGCAGCCAGAAAGCCCACCCGACCCAGCAGGTATGTGCTTTTCCTCTGTGGCAGAAACACACACAGGAGGCAAAGTCTCAACACATACAGAAAACATGATAATTCATACCAAATGTTAATCTGGGGGAAGTTTCAAACCAAACGCAGAAATGTAAGATTATTTCCAGCCAGGACCTCATTCCTAAGGAACAATGCAGGAGTGCCGTGTTTGTGAGTGATGGGATACGCTTAAGTGTTTCTGCAATGCCTTTGAAGTTCACCTCCATGCTCAATTTAGCTGGCTTTGGCCTAGATCTGTGCTGCTGATTTTGATCAATGTGACAACAGCTGCCAGTCATAATGCAATTCCCTCACCCGAGACATAGAAACGGGGACGTTACACTATGCCACATATGTACTGTATCAGCTCCCATAAAGCACCAAATGGAACTAATGAATCCTCTAACTAATACACCATATAAAACACTAAAGTTTTATTTCAAGTTCCACTTTGGCCAATGAGCCACTCACTTTCATTACAGGAAGACCCTTAAGCAATAATAGTTGCAACTTAATGGCATATTTGTGCCTCTTTAACCTGCACAGTGGAGTGTGACACACACCTCACCTACCACCACATTGGGTGGTATGTACAAGCTCATCCATCATTTTTCAAACTAGATATAACACTGTCCCAACATAGAAGTTATGATGTATTTACAGGCTGTTGAAATGTCTTTCTGCACATCTACGATCATACTTAAGCCATCCTGTTCTGGCACCAAGTTGGTGGAATGAACTCCCCCTAGATTCAATACCTGAATTAGCACTTCTGGCATTATACTTTCTAGCATTCCTTTAAAAAAAAAAAAAAAAAAAAAAGGCACTTTTCCAACAGAGTATTAGATCGATGGTATTCATAGCCTTGGTTTTATTGAGCTAGTATCGGGAAAAATTCATTGTGGAGTCTTAAAGCACTTATGTAAGTCGCTCTGGCTAAGGGCGTCTGCCAAATGATGTAAATGTAAATCCACCCTCTCTTACCTATCCCAGTGGGACAAAGGAGGATTAGCGGAACCGTCAGTGTTTATTCTGCTGTCTCTGATGGAGTTTTACAGTTTCCTTTTCTCACAGCATATTTAAACACAAAACAAATCAGGCATGCATCTGGTGACCTGACTGTTAAGAGGGCCCAGTAAAGTAATGACGTCAGAGCTGTAAGAGGGGCCGACCATGATGATGCGACACGCAGTGTGTACTAGATCTGATTATGCAGGTCAAGATGAAGTTTAACTTACTTTACATATGTAACTTGATAGCTAAACTCAAGAGGGAAGGGAAAACAACAACAATCAGTATAACTAATACAATAATGTACAGTCCCTTAAAAAAACAGCAAGCAATAAAATGGTTGATTCTACAAGTGATTCAAAAACAAAGACATACAAACAGATAGTTACTCCAATAGTTCATCGGTTGCAAAAAAAACCACAAGGTTACCCTTTCACTCAAAAGATAAAATGTCACCTGGTATCACTGTCCTCATGGGAGCCTAAGTGAAAAAAACAACATATAATAATAATGCACCCATTTTGTAACAGGTCATCCTGTCAGAAAACAAGTGGTATAGCCTGGCGTCCAATAATAATAGCAATAACAACAACTTGAAGTGAAACAACAAGGTGGCCTCAATCTGCAGTGGGCTAGGAGGACAAGTGCCTCAGAAATGGTACAAACTCATGTCTGAAACTGTTGTCAACATAGGTGACACAACCATCACGTGGGACAGGGAAGTACTGACCAATTGAACCATTTCAGCAAATCACCCAGATTTAGTGGTCAACTTCAAAGATGAGAAGCAATGACTGTTGATCAGGCCAATTTCTGCACATTTCTTATCCTGGAACACAGTGGGAAAGCTGAAAGGTGCCCTGTGAGTAAAAAAGTGAACATCCAGCGACAAAATGCAAATAGTCTGACCTCTAATGACCTCTTTTGTCTCCTATTTGCACATACATAAAAAAAGCATGGAGGACAGATCAAAGTAGGTCAGTGAGAGTGGGCTGTTCATAAATAAGTCTGGCTCCCCAAAGAGTAAAGGTTAATTCCAGACATTTATCACTGGCCCTCATTAAGATGAATGAAGGGTGGAGAGGGCATGTAAAGGCAGCCATATGGAATCTTCCAGAAGCTTACAAAGAATGATGAACAGAGGACAGGAACCATCATCACTATCATCGTCACATATGAGACACAGTGTACCACTTGGACCAGAGCTTGCCATCAGAGAAAACCTCAAACAGACAGTGCAATACCATAGATAGATGGTCCCATTTACATCAATGTCTGAGGATAGTCTACACACTACACTGAAGCATATCCGACTTGGGAAACTCAAGACTGCTACAGCAGGGTCTCTCTGGTGAAAGGAACCAGTTAGCTAAACTGTTGATCAGGTCTGTAAATGTTGTTCTACAGTATCTGCTGTGAATCTTCAGCTTGGCTGTATGGAACACTCGAAAAAAGAGGGTTGCTTATCCTCAATCCGAACACTTGAGCTGGCTGTTTTTCTTTTGAAAACCACAGCCATCCCCAGTGACTCAGATATGAAGGGTCTGAAGGTTCTTGGGGTGTTCAGCTGCATTAATGAATGGACACTGAGGTACATAAAAAAACACAAAACTTCTGAAGAGCCTGGTAGAATAGCCTTTAATTCTGCTCCAAACTATGAAGGGTTATACGGGAGCCAGACTGCCATTGGATATCCTTTCATAGATGTTTGTATTCAGCTCAGTTTACTGAAGTTATGAAACATGAAACCTATAGGCTTACAGCTGTGTGACATTTCCTCTAATACTGACAGCTGGCTTGATTAAGAGGGGAGGACTTGTGCATGGTAATGTCACACTGTGTGTGTGCTCTAGATAGACCATTTTTTCGGTCCCCAGAAGGGGAATTAAATTTTTTTAAATGCAGTGTGTCTGCAGTGTGTGTGTGTGTGTATGTGTGTGTGTGTGTGCATGAATTATGTTTATATTACACTGTGGGGAGCAAATATCCCTCAAAGTGTAATAAAAAATTATGTTGATGTGGTGGGGACCATTTTCATGTCCCTACAATGATCTATGAAATGCAATCAAAAAAACAAAAATGCCATAAGTCTCGAATTAGTTTGCTTACTTATAGTTAAGGTTTGGGCAGGATCGAGGATATGCTTGGAATGTTGGGGCTAGAGTTTTCCCCAGAGAAATGAACAATTACAAATGTGTGTGTGTGTGTGTATGTGTGTGATACACTAGTAGTTAAAAGTTTTTGTACACTACATGCTTATTAACCATTCTCCCATTTATTTAATAAACTGCAGATTTTTCATTAAAGCATAGGAAAGTTCAGTAAACAACTATAAATGAAAATATAAGTCAAATAAAACATATTTCCTTTATAACATGAAAGGATTATGTAACAGTGCATGTCTGATATCCAGTTAACTGGTTGTGTGGTGATGGAAGTCAAATTTTAGGATGTCCTTTAACTTTAAATGCACTAGTTAACTTTCATCCCATTAAAACAGAGTAATATTTGATGTCCCTTCTAGAAAGAATGCCTCAATTTTTCTCTGCTGTTATAACTGCTATAGGAGGTTACCTTGATGAATCCAAGATATGACATTTTCTTGCTAATAAAGGTACTGAAATGGTGAACATACTAAATTTATTCATTAGCAAAGAATATTGCGTGTATTTTTAGTAAATGTTAAGTGAGTAACATGCAAATACAGAAAAAATTTGGTGTATACAAAAACTTTTGACTGGTAATGTATGTAGACAGAAGTACTGTATGGGGATTAACATGTGCCACTTTCTTAGCATAATTTCACATTAACATGTGGCACCCTTCTTGTGTGTGCAATCGAATATGGAGGTTAGTGTGTAGAGCTTTGTTCATGTGTATTCCAGCATATAGTGCAAGTGAGGTTAAATTCCTAACTCGTTACCACACCACAGTGGGGTTAAGGGTGTTTCATACTTCTCATGAATATACTGTACGTATGCGTACATGGAATTGTCTGTAGTTCTCCGGTCAAGCTGCATATTTTGCACATACACCCAACGTGTTGTATTTATATTTTTATTAATAATAATTTTTATTAATAATAAAAATATTAATTATTCTGATATTCCCTGCATAAGTACCATAGTAGTGACATTTGTGTCCGTTTCTCTGTGTTTTAGAAATTCAGAGAGCCAGTTCACAGGGTTGCCAATTTTGGTCAGCTGGCTGGTGTGAGATTTTCAATTTGAGACAAGTCTATATTCCCATACACAGGCATTTACATGTATGTAACAGTTTTATTACCTTGTAAATAGTCTGTAGGGTTGACCTATCCCAACATTCGTCGGTAATTATTGTGGACCATAGCTGATCAGTCGTGCGCTGTGAGTCCAGAGTTGTGTGTACACCGCTGCGCGGACACAAATTTGAAGTGCAGCAGGCGTTCGCCCGTGGTGCACAATGATGCCAAGCGTGCCATAAACATATACATTCGCTAGCACGCGTGCAAAGATGTATAAACCAGCCTTTAGGCTACAATATGTAGCAATATTGTCTGAAGACCAAGTCAAGAGGCAATCAGTGACAGCAAAAAACCTATAAATCACCTCAAAGTTGAAGCTGAAACATTGGTTTCATGATCAGTCTGCCCTACAACATCATTCCTAAACACACAAAGGTGTCATGTGACTATATAAGAGCTGTTAATTTTTAACATCACTCTTTGTTCAGACAGTAGGGTCAGCCTAGGTACACTGTTGCCTCCCATTGCGTGACAGAGAAGATCAGAAGAAGCCTCGGCATTGGCATACAATGTGTACTTTAGGGGAGAAGATGAAAGCAAACAGAAACTGTATGCTGTTCAGCAGCAAATCACCAGGGTACTTAGTGATGAAGCAATTTATTTAGCCCCCTACTGCTGCTGAAGGCCATCCTTACAGAAATTACCTTCTGAACTTCGCCTGACCCTGCGCATGGGTCGGTTTGAAAAGCTACACCTCACCAGGCCCAGAAGT